TTCTCATAGCTAATATAGGGGTGTTTCAGGGGCTAGTACAGGAGATAATGAAGCCCTGAGTCTTATAATCTTTTATTATGGGCTTGATGCCTTGGATGGCCTCTTTATTTATAGGATAGTGGTTAATTCTGAGGAGAGGTTTTGAGGAGTCTGTTTGAATCTTGATGCAGGGTGCTCTTTGGAGCCTGAAAATATCATTTGGAGATTTTGCCCCAAAAGAGGAGTGCCTCAGGAAGCAGCTGGGGACCCCTGTTGGGGGAAAGCCACATGGGCACCCATGCTGTGGCAGGGCCACGCTGGGCAAGGTATTTTAATGTGGTGCCACTGGGCTGTATGTCCCAACCCAGGAGGCTAATCACAAATGGGAAACTGGTCTGTGGTCACCATTGCTTCTCAGGACAAAACAAGCAAAGCACAAGGAGTTCTTTAATCATAAAGCATGAGCAGAGGCAAGAACTAAGGGCTGTACACTGACTATAGGTGCCGAAAAGTCCCTGTGAATTCCATTTGGGAGTCTGTGAAAGCCCCTAGGAGACTGAGCAATTTTCATCAGTGAAAATGAGTTAAATCAGTCAATGAATTAGAGAGGGTACAAAATTCCATCCTGTTCCTTGGCTCAGAAATTCTGAAACTTGCTGCTTCAACACACACACATTTCTATATATAATGTAAACTAAAGAGAAGAGATGAATAGTGAGAAAATTGCCCAGTTGATTCTGTTCTCCCCTCGTGTCTCTTCCAATAAAAACATACACCTGCGGGCCTAATAGTGTTCATTGATGAATTATTTGGATTATCCTTTGAATTGTTTGCAAAATCCATTTATAAACTATTGACCTAAAAGTAGAAGACCAAAGTGAGAGGCAATAAGCATTTATTTGAGATAGAAAAGAACAGCTATTTGTAAAGCAATGATTCAGGCAGAAACACAGTAGAGTTCTGATTAGGAGATGAAGGCAAGGAGTATTTATGAGAAAGGAAAGGGGAACAATTACATGAATAGAAAGAAAAAATTTCTACAAGTGCAGATAAGCTAACATGATGATGCTAATACTAAATATTTAAAATTTTCGGCCAGGTATTTATTATGTCCACTTTCTTCTTAAGCTGCAATGCTGCTTTAAGCCCAATTAAAAGGTTCTTTTGCCCAGTTTTAACATTCCAAAGGTTTGAGGAGTAAGATGTACAAGGCACTTTTTCTGAAATGGCAGCTTTGGCTCCAATTTAAAGTGGCTCTGTTTATATTACTTTTTATATTTCTTCCTTTTGAGATCTTTCCTTGAAAGCATCACTTATCAATCACCAGAAAGCAACATTGATCGTTTATTAAAAGCAGCATTGGGCTCTTATCTCCAGGAAGATTCATTACCAGTATATCATGTCCCACATAGAAGACAAAGTGGTATTATGTTTTCTTAGGATCCTTAGGCCACATTTGAGCAACAGCATCAAACAGAGGAAGTCTTTACCATCATTTCTTTAAGGGCAAATGTCTTCTATAGTTTCTTGAGGTTTTTCATATGAAGTCTCATAGGCCTTAGTGATCATCTCAAAACATTGAGCAACCAATATAAGAGTGGTGTCTATAACATCAAGCTATGCAAAACAAATTTTTATAACAGCAAAAATTTGTGTAAGAGACCAAATGATAAGTCCAATTTGAAGAACAGATCTGAACTAGGAGACAATACCTGAGGACAATCAGCTGAAGATATTAAAGAACCATGAGGTGTCAGTGGGCACTATATTTAATCACTTGGCTTGTGCCTGTGGTTTATCTAGTTCCATCTCTATTTCACCACAGATGTTTTATCCAAGTATAACAAGAGATATTAACAACAGACCAAACCCTACCTTGTTCACCTAGATGATCACGAGTAATTCTGTTATGTAATTTAACTCATGCAAGGGAACTTGTAGCTTTTTCCTGGTTGGCTGTTACTTTGGAGGTAGCTCCAGCATTTCCTCTAAGGTGTTTGATAAATTTCTAATCATGTATTTATTTATTTTAATACCTGCCAAAGGAAAAAGTATTCTTCCAGATCTGGTACCATTGCCGGTCATTGACTATGTGTGCAACCAATTGCATATTTTGACCTGTGAAGTAGGTTTAAAGATGATGCCCAGTGTTGAGTTATATTTCCAGGCAGAAATTAAGGGAGAATAGGAAACAATAACTATTATGGTAAGTGTTTGGCCTCTCATATTATTTGTGAGATAGGAAGGAACTAAAGTAAGGAAAAAAGGAAAAATAGTCTAGTTTATGCAGGCCTGGTCTGGGATCTTGGGTTACAAGTCCGTAATAGATGTCATCTGTTCACTTCCTAGTAATTTTAAATTTCAAATCCTTGTTGGTTGAACAGTCCATTTAGGTGCAAGAGCTTTCTTTAAATGGGAAACATGAATCCAAGTATCAACACCATTAAACTAGACCACACAGATTAGTTAAGAATACTTGATATGGTCCTTTTCATCTTGGTTGTACAAGAGTCTTTTTGAAGGTGTTTTTTCCACTATACATAAACACCTGTAAATTTTGGTGGTTAATTTCTTTGTCTTCTTTAATTAATTGGATACCAAAGCAGATAAATCTAAATGCATAGGTTGACCTGGTAAGGCTCTTGGGAACACTGTAAAAAAAGGTACCAGACTGATTTTTCCCGAGAAGGTTTCCATAAGTCAATTCTTGCTTCTTAAACCTGTCTGATTATATCTGGGAAAGCTGTCTTTCTCAAACATGACATTCTAGCCAAAGCCTTGGGAATAAAATTAATGTTTCCAATTATCTTGTTCTAAGGAGAACAGATTCTTATTGAATTTACATAAATAATTACATGGCCATGAAACTAGGAATACTCACTAAAAGCTTTTTTTTTTCTTTTTAGGTGAGGCAACCCTTGGTTGACCTCCAGATCGCAAGGACCTTGTCAGTTTACAATCCCTTATTTTTTATGCCTACATCACCTAGTCTTCCTAGGTGGTCTCCCATCCAAGTACTAACCAGGCCCAACCCTGCTTAGCTTCCGAGATCAGACAAGATCAGGCTTGTTCAGTGTGGCATGGCCATAGACTCACTAAGAACTTCTAAATTCTGGGGGGATCAGGACTGTTTTAGGTCTGCTTACAAAGGTGTAATTCACCAAATTGCTGTGGGTCTTAGAGAAACTTTTTTCTTATATATAGAAAACAACATTTCTTAAATATAGAACACAATTAAAAACTTAATATTTTAAATAAAAAGTCAAATATAATCGTCATCAGTTTTTTCAGTCACATTACTAATTCTTGTTGACCTCAATCTTTTCGTCAGTAGTTTTATGAATCCTGCTTTATCATAGTTCTGCAAATATCCACCAAGTTTATTGGTAGTAGCTAAAAGTTTATAAAAACCTGTATTTTAGTGTAAATGTTAGAGTCTTCTTCATGAATCTCATGAAACATCTTTGCAGAAACATTTTTGTAAAAGCATCAGAGTAAAACAATAACTGTTTATAAATGACAAAAATACTTAAAAATGATAATAGTTAAAGAATTGAGAGTTCATATATGCACACATATAAATGATGCAATTGACTTAGTTATCCATTACAATCTTAGCTTGACCACACATAAAATTTCTTTCTCAAGTTTCCTTTTCCACAACTTTCTGCAACTTTCATAAACCTTATGAAACTTTCATATACTTTTCAGCTATTGTCCCATATTTTTCTTTTTCTTTTAAAAGAGTCATTTTACTTTAAGGATAAAATTACTTTTTTCCCCTTTACCAAAAAACCCCGTACATATCCTTTATATCTTTCTTTATCCAAAAAACACATTCTATTTCTCTTTCCTCCAACATTTCCTCCAATATTTTTTATTATTCTAATCCCTGAGACACAATACTATTGGAATTGGACCAGTTAATAACACTACAATGGCTTCTAAATGTTTAAGTCAAAGGAATAGTTGCACATCTCTCCCTTTAAGCCAAAAGCCACAAATGCTTAAGCTTAGTAAGGAAGGCATGCCAAAAGCCAAGATAAGCCAAAGGCTAGGCCCCTTACACCAAATAGCCAAGTTTTGAATGCAAAGGAAAAGTTCTTGAAGGAAATTAAAAGTGTTACTCCAGTGAACACATAACTAATAAGTTGAAATAGCCTTATTGCTGCTATGGAGAAAGTTTTAGTGGTCTGGATGGGAGATCAAATCAACCACAACATTCCCTTAAGCCAGAGCCTAATCCAGAGCAAGGTCTTAACTCTTCTATGAAGGATGAGAGAGGTGAAGAAGAAAAGTTTGAAGCTGGCAGAGGTTGGTTTATGAGGTTTAATGAAAAAATTTGTCTCTTTAAAATAAAAGTGCAAGGTGAAGCAGGAAGTGCTAATGAAGAAGCTACAGCAAGATATTCAGAAGATCTAAGATAATTAATGAAGGTGGCTATATTAAACAACAGATTTTCAATGTAGATGAAACATCTTCTTGTATCGGAAAGAAGATGCCATCTAGGATTTTCGTAGCTAGAGAGAAGTAAATGCCTGGCTTAAATGCTTCAAAGGACAGGCTGACTCTTTTGTTAGGAGCTAATGCAGCTGGTGACATTGAGATGAAGCCAATGCTCATTTACAATTCTGAAAATCCTAAGGCCCTTAAGAATTATGCTACATCTACTCTTCCAGCACTCTATAAATGGAACAACAGTTTGGATGACAGCACATCTGTTTACAACATGTGAGACCTACTGCTCAGAAAAGATTCCTTTCAAAATATTGCTCAAATACAATGCACTTGGTAACCTGAGAGCTCTGATGGAGATGTACAATGAGATTAAGGTGGTTTTCATGCCTGCTAACATAACACCCATTCTGCAGCCCATGGATTATAAGGAGTAATTTTTACTTCCATGTCTTATTATTTAGGAAATATTTTTCATAAGTTTATAGCTGCCATAGATAGTGATTCTTCTGATGGGTCTGGGCAAAGTAAATTGAAAACCTTCTGGAAAGGATTCACCATTCTAGATGCCATTAAGAATGTTCATGATTCATGGGAATGGGTCAAAATATCAGCATTAACAGGAATTTGGAAGAAGATTCCAACCCTCATGGATGAATTTGAGGAGTTTAAGATGGCACCGGAGGAAGTAACTGCAGATGTGGTGGAACTAGCAGGAGAACTAGAATAAGAAGTGGAGCCTGAATATGTTACTGAATTGCTGCAATCTCATAAAACTTTAATGGATGAGGAGTTGCTTTTTATGGATGAGCAGAGAAAGTGATTTCTTGAGATGGAATCTACTCCAGGTGAAGATGCTATAAAGATTGTTGAAATGACAACAAAATAATTAGAATATGACATAAATTTGGTTGATAAAGTAGTGGCAAGGTTTGAGGAGACTGACCCCAATTTTAAAAGAAGTGCTTGCATAAGTAAAATATTATCAAACAGCAAAACAAAGAAATCATTTGTGAAGGAAGAGTCAGTAAATGCAGCAGGTTTATCGTCTTATTTTAAGAAATTGCCAGAGACACACCATCCTTCAGTAAACACCATCTTTATTGGTCAGTAGCCATTGACATCAAGGCAGGACCCTCCACCAGCAAAAATATTAAAACTCGCTGAAGGTTTGGATAATGGTTAGCATTTTTTAGCAATAAAGTATTTTAAAATTTTTCGACATAATGATATTGTATACTTAATAGACTATGGTTTAGTGTAAATGTAACTTTTATATACACTGGGGAACCTAAAATTTGTGACACACTTTATTGCAATATCTGCTTTATTGCGGAGGTTTGGAACCAAACCTGCAATATTTCCCAAGTATGCCTGTACTTGTTTCAGATGTACAACTGCAAAATCACCACAATAAGTCTAATTAACATTCATTACTGTACATAGTTATAATTTTTTCTTTTGCTGAGAATTTTTAAGATCTCTCTTAGCAACTTTCAAATATAAAATACAGTATTAACTGTAGACTAAACAATTTTTGTGCTTATTTTTAAATTTATTTTTAAATTTTTATCTTTTGACCCCCTTCACCTATTTCTCCCATCCTCACCCCCACCTCTGGCAACCACCAATTTGTTCTCTGTAACTATGAGCTTAGTATTTATGTATGTAAGAATGTATGTATTTATTCATTTTTAGGTCCTCATATAAGAAAGATCATATGGTTTTGTCTTTCTATGTCTGACATTTCAGTTAGCATGATACCCTCTAGGTTCACCCATATTGTCACAAATGGCAAGCTTTTATTTTTATTGGTGAATAATATTTCATTATATATATTTCATTATATATAATATTTCATTATATAATATGTACATATATACATATTACAATTTTTTTCATCCATTCTCCGATTAATGGACATTTAGGTTGTTACCATTTTTTGGCTATTGTAAATAATGCTGCAGTAATCTTCACCCATATTGTCACAAATGGCAAGCTTTTATTTTTATTGGTGAATAATATTTCATTATATATATTTCATTATATATAATATTTCATTATATAATATGTACATATATACATATTACAATTTTTTTCATCCATTCTCCGATTAATGGACATTTAGGTTGTTACCATATTTTGGCTATTGTAAATAATGCTGCAGTAATTGTTAGGATGCAGATATCTTTTTGAATTAGTGTTTTCATGTTCTTTGGATAAATCCCCAGAAGTGGAATTGCTGGGTCATATGGTAATTCTATTTTTATTTTGTGGGGAACCTCCATAGTGTTTTCCATAGTGCTGCATCAATTTATATTCCTACCAAGAGTACTCAAGGGTTCTCTTTTATCCACATCTTTGCTAATACTAGTTATTATTTTTTTTGATGATAGCCATTTTTAAAGGTGTGAAGTGATATAACATTGTGCTTTTGATTTGCATTTCTCTGATGATTAATGATGTTGATTATTTTTTCATGTATCTGTTGGCCATCTGTATATTATCTTTGAACATATGTCTTTAGATTTTTTTCCTATTTTTAATCAAGTTTTCTTTCTTTTTTTTTTTTGCTATTGTGTGAGATATTTATATATTTAGGGTATTATCTCCTTATCAGATAAATGATTTGCAAATATTTTTCCCCATTCAGTAGGTAGCCTTTTCATTTTGTTGATGATTTCCTTTGCTGGTCAGAAGCTTTTTAGGTTGATGTAGTCCCACTTTTTTTTTTCTTTTGTTGATTTTGCTGTTGGTATCAGATTTAAAAAATTATCATAAAGACCTTGTCAAGGAGCTGCCTGTGTTTTCTTCCAGGAATTCTATGGTTTCAGGTCTTATGTGTAGTCTTTAGTCCATATGAGTTAATTTTTATTTAAGAGGTAAGATAGTGGTCAAATTTCATTTTTTTTTCTTGTGGCTGTCCAGTTTTCCTAACACTATTATTGAAGAGACTATCCTTTCCTCATTGTATATTCTTGGGTTTATTTTTGGGATCTCTACTCAGTTTCATTGATCTATATGTTTATTTTTACTCCTATACTATACTTTTAAAATTAGTATAGTTTTGTAATATAGTTTTAAGTCAGGGACTATGATGCTTACAGATTTGTTCTTTCTCAAGACTGCTTTGGCTATTCTGGTCTTCTGTGGATCCATACAAATTTAGGATTATTTGTTCTATTTCTGTGAACAGTGCCATTGGAATGTTGATAGGGATTGCACTGAAATCTGTAGATGACTTTGGGTAGTATGGACATTTTAATAATATTGATTATTACAATCCATGAGCACAGAATATCTTTCCACTTATTTGTGTCTTCATTTTTTATTAATGTCTTGTATTTTTCAATGTATAGATCTTTTACCTTATTGGTTAAATTTATTTCTAGATATTTTATTCTTTTCAATGCAATTAAAGTGAGATTTTCTTAATTTCTCTGACAGTTTATTATTAGTGTGTAGAAACATAGCAGACTGTTGTGTGTTGCCTTTTTATCCTACAACTTTACTGAGTTTATTCTGTTAAAAGAGACAACAGGTAAAAAATGGAGTCATTTATGCTAAACTCCACATAACCAACCTGAGACTTAATACCTAAGTTAATCACACTTTCAGACTCTCCCGGGAAAGAAATCTTAAACTAGTCAGTCTGGAATTATCTGGTGAGCACTAGTGAAGTAATCTGTCTGATAGATCCCTGCTGCCCCTAAAGGAAAGTGACTTTGCCACAACTAATCAACTTTTGCTTGTATGACTTCCTTGTTCTTCTCCCTTCTGCCTATAAAAGTCTTCCATTTTGTTCAACTCTTCAAACTTGCTTTGTATCTGCTAGATGGAATGCCACTCAATTTATGAATCATTGAATTAAACCAGTAAGATATTTAAAATTTACTCAGTTGAAATTTGTTTTTAACAATTCTCAGTTTAACAATTCTCAGTAAAATTTACTCAGTTGAAATTTGTTTTTAACTGTTTGTTGTTGTTGTTGGAGTCTTTAGGGTTTTTTAAAATATATAATGTCATCTGTAAGTAGTGACAGTTTTACATCCTTTTCAATTATGGGTAACTTTTTATTAAATTTTCTTGCTTAATTGCTCTAGTGAAAACTTCCAATACTATGTTGAATAAAAGCGGTGAGAATGGGAATCCCTGTCTTGTTCCTGATCTTAGAAGAAAAGCTTTCAGCTTTTCATCGTTGTGTATGGTATTAGCTGTTGGTTTGTCATATTTGGCCTTAATTATGTTGAGGTACGGTCCTTTTATACCCTCTTTGTTGGTAGTTTTGATCATAAATGAATGTTGAATTTTGTCAAATGCTTTTCTTTATCTATTGAGATGATTACATGATATTATCCCTTATTTTGTTAATGTGGTGTATCACATGGCTTGATTTGAGGATTGTTGAGCCATCCTTGTATCCCTGGAATAAATCCCACTTGATCATGGTTTATGATCCTTTAAATGTATTGTTAAATTTGGTTTGCTAATATTTTGTTGAGGATTTTTGCATATATGTTTATCAAGGATATTGGCCTGTATTTCTTTTCTTGTGGTATCCTTGTATGGTTTTGATATCAGGGTAATCCTGACCTCATAAAATAAGTTGGGAAGAGTTCTTTCCTCTTCTATTTTTTTGAAGAGTTTTAAGAAGAGTTGGTATGAATTCTTTGAATGTTTGGTACTATTCATCAGTGAAGCTTTCTGGTCCTGGACTTTAGTGTCTTGTGACAGTTTTCGATTGCTGATTTAATCTTCTTACTATTAATCATTCTTTTCAGATTTTTTTATTTTATCATAATTCAGTCTTGGTAGATTGTATGTTTCTAGGTATTTATCCGTTTCTTCTAGATTTGTTGGTGTATAATTGTTCATAATAGTCTCATGATCTTTTGCATTTCTGTGGTATTAGTTCTAACATCTTTTACATTACTGATTTTGAATCCTTTTTTTTTCTTGGTGAGTCTAGCTAAAGTCTTGCCAATTTTGTTTATCTTGTCAATTTTATCACATGTTTAGATTCATGTAACCACCAGCACAATCAAGATATAGCACTCTTCTATCAGGTCTCTATCTCTATAGTTTTGTCATTTCATATAAATAGAATCATAATATATAACTTCCAGACTGGCCTCTTTCAACATAATTCCCTCGAGATTTATCACAGCTGTTGTGTATATCAATAGTTGTTTTTTATTGCTGTACAGTATTCCATAATACATAATGTGGATGTACCACAGTTTGTTTATACTTTAACCCATTGAACGACTTTTGAGTTTCCAGTTTTTAGTTATAACAATTAAATTTGTTACAACAAAAAACCCTGAACAAAATGTACAAGTTTTTGTGTGAACATGTTTTCATTTTTCTAAGATAAAGCCTAGGAGTGAGATTATTGTTGTATGGTAACAGTATATTTAATTTTGGAAAAAACTGCAAAAATATTTTCCAAGTAGCTATACCTTTTTTCATTCCCATCACCAATAGATCTAATTACTCTGTGCCCCAACTAGTGCTTGTTATTGTAAATATTTTAAAGGTTAGCCATTCTAATAGGTACCTCATTTTGGTTTTAACATGCAGTTTCATAATTTCAAACTGTTTTGAACACCTTTTCATTTGTTTATGTGCCAGTATGTTCTGTGCCTGGATTTTAATGTATGGAGATGACAAAGTGATGACATGGAATGGTCAATGACATTGAAATAAAAGTTTAATAATATTACCTACAGTTCCCCTAACAATGAGAGGCACAGTGTACCACAGAGGGCCATGAGAGGAATGCCATATTTGGTAAAGTCAAGGGGAAAGTCAAAGCCAGAGCCTTTGTTGGAGTTTCCATGGGAAAGGTAAAGCTAGTCAGAGTAAACTGTTTAGTATTGTCTAATTTGAATCATTCTGGTGGTCTTTAAACTAGAGGGGTGATCTCAAGTTGTTTAGTACCCGGCTCTGGGATTATTAAGGCTGAGGAATACCGCTTCCTGGTGTACTGGCCAGCTAGAGGAGGTATAGCTCTGGATTGTTTGCATATCAAATGCATGCTGTCAGCTGAGTCATTTGCCAGTTTTTAAGAATTGACTATCCCTGGGAAGGGCAGTTTTTCCCCAGCAAAAAGGGTCATTTAAGATATCAAAATATAATATACGGAAAATTAAAAATTATACACTATACATTGGCATATTCTCATTGGTAAATTTTCTCTTTATGCCTTTCGTCCATTTTGTAGTGGATTGTTTTCTTGTTTAAAGAATTCTTTATATAGTGGGGATACAAGTCCTCTGTCAGATATATGGTTTGCAAAAATTTTCTCTGTAGTTTGTATTTTCATCCTCTTGCCATTGTCTTTTAGAGAGTAAATGGTTTTCTTTGATATTTAATTTTTTCTTCTATGCATCATGAGTATGTTGATGACTAAGAACTTTTTGTATAATTAGTTCTGGAAGAATATTCCCCATAGCTTCTTCTAAAGTTTTACAGTTTTACATTTTTTAAAAATTTATTTAAATTAGTTTCAATACATTGGTTAGAAATATATATAGTTCATAAAACGATCCCCTCAATTGCTCCCTCCCTCCCCGGACCCTCCACCTAGCCCTCATATTAATGATAACTACATTCCCTATGCCGCGCTCCCCATTCCTGTGACCAACTATCAACTACTAATTTGTACTTCTTAAACCCCTCACCCCATTCTAATTTGTACTTCTTAAACCCCTCACCCCATTCTCCCAGCCCCTCACTCCCTCCTCCCCTCTGCCAAATTGTCTACTATATTTGTGAGTCTGTTTTTGATTAGTTTGGTCTTTTCGTTCCTTAGATTCTGCATATAAGTAAAATCATATGGTATTTATCTTTCTCTGTCTGACTTATTTCACTCAGCATAATAACCTCTAGGTCCATCCATGTCACTGCAAATGGTAGGATTTCATTTTTTTAATGGCTGAGTAATATTCCTTTATGTATATATGAACCATAACTTCGTATCTAATCATCTGTTGATGGGCATTGCTTCCATATCTTGGCTATTGTAAGTTGTGCTGCCATGAATATTGGGGTGCATAGATCTTTATAAATTATTATTTTGTTTTCTTTGAATAAATACCCAGAAGTGCAGTTGCTGGGGCAAAAGGTGTATCCATTTTTAATTTTTTGAGAAACTTCTAGACTGTTTTCCGTAGCGACTGTACCAATTTGCAATCCCACCAACAATGTATGAGGATTCTCTTTTTTCAGCATCCTCGCCAACACTTGTTCTTCTTTGATTTTTTGATGATAGCCATTCTGACAAGCGTCAGGTGATATCTCATTGTGAAAACGCTCTTTTTCTAAAAGCTCTTATAAATCAAAGGCTTTGTGTTTCATAACCGCTGTGTCTGAAATAGGCAGAATCCTGATTCCCTCTTCTCTTTGCCTTCATGCTGTAGCAACCTTAATCCTCCCAATGGAGGCTTCTAGCTGAAGAGGGAGTAGGGCACAGCTAGGAAGGTTGGGAGAACAGAAGCGTATTTATAGAATTCAAAATATAGAAAAGTTGAGATAGTTTCAGATTGTCTTTAGTGTTAAGATGAAAATAATCCGGGTGAGGAGGCGAGCAAATGGGAAAAGAGGCTTTAGGAAGGTGGTCAGGGAAAGCATTTCAGAGGTTGGTCTTTCTTCCTTGATCCATGATT